GGGTAGATTTTGAGGACGAAATCTCTGTAAGAATGGTAGATTGTGACGTTTCCGATTTTCAGCGTTTTTCATTTTTCCAGAATTTTGTCGCCGCAAGGGCATTTTCGTCTTTTCACATTTTTCTTACCGGATATTGTGGAATGTACCGGTTGTGTCCTAGAATTTGTTTGGGGCATTTCATTGAGTCCAAGACTCTTTGAAATGTAGGGGTGACCATTTTTTACATTTTTCAGCTTTTCGAGCCGGACGGTCCCGTGTGGGACCCGCTACTAGAATTGTCAAGCATAAGGATTTTAATTGGATTCATTTGAATCATATTTATTTTATTTAATGTGTTGTGTATGATTATAATTTAATATGTGTACATATAGGTGTGTGGTGAGAATTAAAGGGCAAAAGAAAAAGAAAAATTATAAAAGAAATGGGTGGGACCCACTACCACCATCTAAATGACTTAGAGACCACATTTTTTGTCTCAAAATCTCACTTCTCCCGTAAGTCTCTCTCTAATCTCATTTCCTTGCATTTTTCTTTCAATTTTATAATCAAACTTCAAGCTATGATTCCATCTTCATTACTTGCCGGATTTAAGTGTCATTTGAGGCAAAACGGAGAGCACGACGAGCTCTACGCATTGATACCAACAATTTCAGATTTGGATCTCCCTAGCAACTTCGAAAATCTAGGCCATTTTGAGGGCTTTGCGTAATTAAGAGGTAGGGACCCTTAATCCATGAAATCTTGTACCTTAGTGAGTTAATTCCCTCTATTTGTTGATTAATTTGATTAATTATTTGATACCTAGAGAATTGTTGATATGTATGCATATTTTTTGATTAAGTGACTATATGTGTTCATCTTGCTAGATTCTTGTTGTTTGAGAACATGTTATTAGTTTCCTTAGAAATTTTTGTGAACTATGCTTTGTTAATTAAACTTGGCCAATTGTGAAATGATGAGCATGGGCATGGCATTGATACATCTATGCACTAGCATTGGGCATAAATAGGAGAAATTGTTTTGAAATGAAAAAGGGGAATTTGGGAAAGAAGTTTTGATGAAATGGTTTTGATTAACCCCGGTCGCTGCGGAGTCACCAATGGGCCGGTAAGTTAATGTAACCTAGAGGGAACTAGGGAGATTGCCCTAGCGTGGTTGAGCTATCTGGGCCCCACGATGACTCTGCGGAGTCACCAATGGTGTAGGGACAGTAGCCAATCATTCTCTCGGTGCTGAGGGGGTACCAAAGGGGGTTACATTAACGGTTTGAAAGTGAAGGTTTTGAAAATGGGGAGCGACATCGGCATACATTGCATCCCATAGCATTCTATTGTTTATAATGAGACTTGTTGTTATGTTGTGTTATTCCGACAATGTATGATCCCCATTCCTATTGTCCTATTCTTTGGTTGGATTCATGGGGACACAAGAGACGTGTCTTAAATGTCACCTACTGAGCATATTGTTCACCCCATCATATTCTACATTTTTCAGGTCATGGAAAAGAAGTAGCTGACGATAATCCAATTTAGCCTTAGCTTGGAATAGAGAAATGCCTCTTTTCCTATCTTTTATAAATGAACCTAATTTTGTAAAGTACTAACTCAAGGTGTATTATTTTTACAATATTTGTTGTATTAAGGTTCATTGTGTATATGGTTATTTGAGAGAATGTAATTAAATTTTAGTCACTCAAAATTAGTTTGTGTATTTTAAGTAACGTGTGGCAAATTACGTTAAGAACGTGGTGGTTGATATTGCAATTTAGTGTTGAAATGTATTTAAATTTGTGGTTAATTACCAAATGTTGGTGTATTTAGGTTATCACTGGATAATGGGAGGTGGAAGTGAAAATTTCCCAGAACTGGTTGACGGGTGACTTCCCATACGTCGACCGGTATCACGTCTCAAACCAGTCGACGTGTGGCTTTCCATACGTCGACCAGTATCACGTCCCAAACCAGTCGACGTGTGGCTTCCCATACCTCGACCGGTATCTCGGTAGTGGGTATTACCACTGTTCATAACGTGTGGCTTCCCATACCTCGACCGGTATCTCGGTAGTGGGTATTACCACTGTTCATAACCCAAACCAGTCGACGTATGATGCATATACGTCGACCGGTTTACGTCATATATGTAATTACTATTTAAGTTCTTAAATTACACTTTGGCACCCAAGTGAGGTTACAAGTAATTATTTTATAACCCAATAAATGCAATAATTATATTTTAACTACCGAAAGGACTATATTGCCCCGAACCTCTTTTTTATTTATTTATTATGGGATGCAAGTAAATGACCATTACATCATTTGGGTTTTAATTTATTGAAATATGGCAATTTACCAATTTGCCCTTTTCGGAACTTGATATTTAAATTTAACGTGAAATGACCGTATTACCCTTAGATGTTTTTAGGTCGGGTAAGGACCCGTTTAATGATCCGGATCCATGAGGAGCTGGGTCGTTACACATGTAATTAATGCATTGTCCACATTTCAAATTATTAATATGTTCTTCAAGCTTTAAATATATATAACACCAAGTTGTAAGATTTTTGAAAAGTTAACATATATAATATGTCTTCAAGCTTCAAATTATTTATTTTGTTTGACTTTTCAAAGTGAACATTCAATTTGGGACATTCTAAAAGGAGCAAATGAACTACTAATATAGAACTGAGGGAGTATTAGTGTTGTGTACTTATGTGTAATATATGTATTTAAAATGTTATATATATGATTCAAAAAAATATTGAAACCATCAATTCATTGATTTGTAATCTTGTTCCATGTGGTAAAATAATGTTGGCTCGTCCGGAGCCTTCAATCAAGTCGGTGAAACCTGATATTGTACTGACACTAGTGTCTATCAAATTTATGTGAGAAAAATATTTTTAATGGTGAAGGATTGTGTGTGTCTTTCCACTATTTGCAAGACATATATTTTCTCTATTTATTTTGAAACTAGTCAGATCCATTCATATTCATGCAAATTTCTTTATCAGAAAAGAAACTTTTATAACAAAAGAAACTTTAATACAAATTAGAAAATAAAAACATAGTAGACAGAACATAAAAAGAAAATAGGAATAATTAGTGTGAACATTTTCATCACCAATCAGGAAGTCTTTCTTTCTATCACGGTCTTCAAAAAAATCTGATACATCCAGATTTGTGATTTCAACTGGCTCATCATGATCAATGAAATTCATTTCTTTTTGTTTCCCTTTTTCTTTCATTGAGGCTTGGTAAAGTTCAGCCAGATGCTTAGGTGTACGACAAATGATTTGCCAATGCCCTGTTTTGCCACACCAATAACAAATATTATTATGTGCTTTGGGAGGTTGAGCCATATCCTTTCCTTTTACTTGTTTCATTTCATTATAATCTCTCCTTTGGGGATATAGTGTGGATCTCTGATTACAAAAATTTGAGGATTGATATCTTTCACGGTAATATGAGTGATTTCTACCATGACCATAGTCATTATTGTGGTAGTTATTTTTATCACAACCATATTCATTATTGTGGTAGTTATTTTTACTACGACCATATTCATTATTATAGTCATTTCTATCACCACGTCCACGTCCAAGGGATGAGGCAACATATGTTTCAGGGATCGGTGTCGATCCAGTTGGACGAGATTGGTGATTTCTTAACAGAAGCTCGTTATTTTGCTCTACCACAAGTAAACATGATATCAGTTCTGAATATTTTTCAAATCTACGCTCTCGATATTGTTGTTGTAAGAGTACATTCGAGGCGTGAAATGTGGTGAATGTTTTTTCTAACAAAAGTTCATTAGTAATGGTATCACCACATAATTTCAATGTAGAGCTGATTTTAAATAGGGTAGAGTTATATTCAGCCACAATTTTAAAATCTTGTAACCACGGTTGCTACCAATCTGCCCGAGCCTTTGGAAGGATAACTGTTTTTTTATGATCATATCTTTTTTTCATATTTTTTTCACAAACACAGTAGATCTCTTTCAGTGAAGTATTCAGTTTTTAACTCCTCACTAATATGACGTCGAAGGAAAATCATGGCCTTCGCTTTATCTTGTAATGATGCATCATTCTCTTCTTTAATTGTGTTTCTCAAGCCCATGACATCTAAATGGATTTGAGCATCCAGAATACAAGATAAATAATTTTTGTCAGAAATGTCCAAGGTCACGAATTTCAGTTTTGTCAAGTTTGACATTTTCAGAATAACCTTTGGAGTCAGAAATATAATATTCTTTGACAAAGCAAACAAATCCAACAATTTATCAAAAGTAATATCACAAAATAAATATATAGTTAAGATAGAAAGAAAGAGAGAGAGCTTTTTTTTAAAATTTGAAATGGACAGAGCTCGTATTGATAATATATAATAAATATATATGTAGAGAGAGAGAGAGAGAGAGAGAGAGAGAGAGAGCGCAATATTTATTAGAGAAGCGAAAAGAAACTTTCACAGAGAGAGAGAGAGAGAGAGAGATGAAAGAATCCGGTCTATCAAAATCAGTAAATACATAATGCCATTTTATAGGCTTCAAATCTAGCTTCGTCTGGGTCACTAATGATGTCTTTCCTTGTAAGCCTTAAAAATGTGATATCATGGATGACATAACATATTAGGGACCCTACACACTTTTATATGTATATATATAACAAATTTTCCATTTTTTTTCTCATGTTAACACGTTCTGTCAGCAAAAAATGCAAACTTCAGTACAGAGAATCCAATGGAGAGGAGCCAAACCCACTACAAATTTCCTTGGTTGGTTATTTGACTATGCTATATATATATATATATATATATAGCTAAGCTCAATTGTATATATAAAGCCAAAGTCGTAGACTAGTAACTGAAAAATAGAAAATAAGAAAGGCTTCAAAGTCGCGGACATGAAATAAAGAAAATGAAAGGAAGAAAACAAAACGCGTCCGATTCAATCAGTACAAAGACTATAGTACAACTCAATACACGCGGTTTGAGTTTACTGTGAGGTCTCTTTCTCTGACCACACACTATTCTTCTTCTTTAACTGCCTCTTCTCATTGTTTTTTCATCTTATCAAGTCTTTTGCTTTTGTAACATTTCCTTACCTACAAAACCCATTAAAGTTGAAGTTGAGGGGTTGCTGTTTCATTTTCATTGTCTCCTCATTTATCCCTCATATGGGTGTCTCTCACAACGGTGTCCAATGAGAATTCTACTCCTTTCATGGCTTTTCTTCATACCCTTATTCACAATTTTGTTTGGCATCAACACAGACTTTGTTTCTGGCCAATGTCTGAACGATCAGCTATCCCTGTTGGTCCAATTGAAGAACAGCCTCCATTTCAATTCTTCATTTTCCCCCAAGCTCATAAACTGGAATCAGAATCAGAGCACCGATTACTGTGGTTGGAGTGGTGTGACTTGCGACAACGCTACTGGTCGTGTGATAGGTCTCGACCTCAGCAGCGAATCAATCTCTGGTGGAGTCGACAATTCCAGTGCTCTTTTTAGTTTTGAGTCTCTTCAGAGTCTCAATCTGGCTAATAATAGTTTCAACTTTACACAAATTCCACTGAGAAACCTCACCACTTTGACATACCTGAATTTGTCAAATGCCGGATTTGCTGGCCAAATTCCAATGGAACTTTCAAGCATGATGAGGTTGGTTACTCTCGACCTCTCAACCTTTTCCCCTGGTAGTGGTACTATTAGTCCTCTGGAACTTGAGAATCCAAATTTGTCAAGGCTTGTTCAGAACCTCACCAAACTTGAAGAACTTCATCTTAATGGTGTAAAGATATCGGCACAGGGAAAGGAGTGGTGCCAGGCTTTGTCATCATCGTTGCCCAATTTGCGGGTGTTGAGATTGTCCAATTGCAATCTTTCAGGCCCTTTCGATTCTAATCTCTCCAATCTACGCAATCTCTCAGTGATCCATCTGAGTGAGAACAATCTGTCGACTACAGTTCCAGATTTCTTCACAAATTTCACAAATTTAACAGTGTTGCGTCTCAGCAATTGTAATTTGCAAGGAGTGTTTCCAGACAACATCTTCCAGGTACCAGCTCTACAGACGCTTCAATTATCAAACAATCAATTACTGAATGGTTCTTTGCCAGAAATTCACCAATATGGATCACTCCAAAATTTGGTTCTTAGCTATACGAATTTTTCAGGGAGATTACCAAACTCAATTGATAACTTTACGATACTGTCCAGGATAGAGCTTGTCAATTGCAACTTCAGTGGATCAATTCCAAATTCAATGTCAAACCTCACCCATCTTGTTTATTTGGATTTCTCTTCCAATAACTACACTGGTCCAATCCCAACATTTCAGAAGTCGAAAAATCTCACCCACATGGACATGTCTCGCAATTATTTCACGGGTCTAATTCCTTCCACTCACTTCGATAGCCTCTTGAATCTTACATACATCGATTTGCGTTACAATTCACTCAATGGGAGTATTCCATCATCTTTGTTGACGCTCCCATCTCTGAAGAAAGTTCAGCTTTCATTTAATCAATTTGGTTGTCTACTTAATGGACTTCCAAATGCCTCGTCCTCTATATTGGATACACTCGATTTGAGCAGTAACAAATTATCAGGACCCATTCCCACATCTTTCTTTGAGCTTAAAAGGCTCAACATCCTCTTAATTTCGTCAAACAACTTCAGTGGCCCTATAAACCTGGAAAATTTTGCAAGGCTCCCTAATCTCACTGCACTTGACCTTTCATACAACAGCTTGTCAATTGATACAAGTGGCAGTAGTTCAACCTTGTCTTCCTTACCACAAATCTCCAAATTAAGATTGGCTTCTTGCAAATTGCAGAGTTTTCCTAACCTCAAGTACCAATCAAGGCTTTATGAATTGGATCTTTCAGACAATCAAATTCGTGGAGAAATACCAAACTGGATCTGGGAAGTTGGGAATGGAACTCTAGCTTATCTGAACCTCTCTTATAATCTACTAGTGGATGTGCAAAAGCCTTATAATGCTCCTATGAGTCTCAGCGTCCTTGACCTACGCTCAAACCAGCTCCACGGAGAGATCCCAATACCACCTGGGTTTATTACCTTTGTGGACTACTCGAGCAATAATTTCAACTCTTCTATTCCAGTTGATATTGCTAACAATCTTGCTTATTTCTTCTCTCTTTCGAATAATAGCCTTACTGGAGCCATCCCTCAATCAATATGCAATGCAACCTATCTCCAAGTTCTTGATTTGTCTAATAATGGTTTGAGTGGCACAATTCCTTCATGTTTGATTGAAAGCAGTAGCATGACTCTTGGTGTATTGAATCTACGGAAAAACAAACTTAGTGGCAATATATCAAGGACATTTCCAAACAATTGTAAACTAAAGACTCTAGATCTCAATGGGAATCTTTTGGAAGGACAAATTCCCAAATCCTTGGCCAACTGCACAATGTTAGAAGTTTTAAACCTTGGGAATAATGAGATAAATGATACCTTTCCGTGCTTCTTGAAAGATTCATCAAGTATGCGTGTTCTAGTTTTGCGGTCCAACAAGTTCCAAGGAGGCCTTAACTGTTCAGGGTACAGCAATGGCAGTTGGCCAAATCTCCAAATAATTGATCTAGCTTTCAACAACTTCAGAGGTAATCTGCCACCAAGATGCTTCTTAAATTGGAGGGCAATGATGGTTGACAAGGATGATGAACTACCAGAGCTCAGTCACTTGCGTTTTGAATTTCTACGACTCAATCACTTCTATTATCTGGACACGGTGACAGTTGTCAACAAAGGGTTAGAGATGGAGCTTGTGAAAATTCTAACCATCTTCACATCCATTGATTTATCGAGCAACAATTTCCAAGGAAGTATACCAGATATTGCTGGACAACTCACATCACTTTACGTTCTCAACTTGTCACACAACGCCCTCAGCGGCTCAATCCCAGCATCAATAGGAAACTTGAAACAGCTCGGATCATTAGACCTCTCGAATAACGTGCTGACTGGGAGGATCCCAACGCAGCTTGCAAGTCTTACATTCCTTTCAGTCTTGAATCTGTCATATAATCAATTGGTTGGACGGATCCCAGCAGGCTACCAATTGCAAACATTCTCTAGAACCTCCTTTGAAGGAAACAAGGGATTGTGTGGGTCTCCTTTGAGCACAAATTGCAGTGAGGTACCATCACCATCACCGTCACCATCACCAACTTCTGTTGGTTCAGGATCAAATTTGGTGAGGGAATTTTATTGGCAGTTCATATTCCCAGGACTGGGATTTGGGGTAGGTGCAGGAATTATTGTTGGACCTCTTATGTTCTGGAAGCAAGGAAGGAATTGGTGCGATGAACGCATTGATAAGTTTGTTTTGATAATTCTTTCAATGTTTGGATTCATCTACACCAGTTGTGAAGACATGAAGGTTGAGGCAGAGGAGAACATTGAAGAAGAACCCACAGATGACTCTGGAGTCTCTGACAATGATGAAGATGAAAGGGAAGAAAAAAATCGACGAAGGTACTGTTTGTTCTGTTCGAAACTTGACACTAGTAGGAAGAAAGTCATACACAATCCAAAATGCACATGTCATGACTCAACACTGATGTCTTCTTTTTCCACATCATCATTATCTTCTTCTAGTCATAAATCACCAAATTCTTGAATTTTAAGCTCTTTATATTTTTCCTTTCATGTATATAGATATAAAAGAGCATCAACTCTCAAGTGGGATGATGAAAACAAATCTTTTCAGGTGTTTTTGTAATATCTTAATTAAGAAAAAGAAAATTGTTTTTTGCAGTCTATTTCACTACATCCAGAGTCCACCTCACTTGTATAAGGGGGATTATGGAAACAACCTTATAGACCAGTTGAAATAGTCCTCCCCAAGTATAAATTCCTTTTGTTCGAATACCCTTAGGGCTACCCAAGTAAATTTCCCAATGCATGTGGGACGGGGAAGTACATGTGCCCTGTGGATTATGGGATGCTCAATGAGGCCCAGCACCACCATTGTTGACAAAAAAAACCCAATTTATATCTGTGTATAACTTCCGTTTTCTCTTTTACCTTTTCTTCTTCGTAGTATATGTTCTGGGTATAATCTTCTTAGGTCTGTAACTGTGAAATAGTCTTGGTTATACTCACCGAGGAATTTTATCAAACACAATGCAAACACTGCATAACATAAATAGGCAGAGCATATAGAAAATTAATGAAATAGGAGATAAAAAGCTTCACTACCAATACTGCACCCAATTACAATCAAATACTGATCATGATGATCAAGAACCAAAAGATTGACAAAGAAGATTAATAAACAAACTTACCCAAGTGGTACTAAATAATACATGCAATTATGCAAAAGTTTCCTGACATATATGTATGCGTATTCAGAAAAATTGTATTAAAACAAGCATGACATAAATAAACTCTAAAAACAACAATGACCAATATTTTAAAAAGATAGTCGTAACTTGTAGTAGATGATGTGCTATATTTGAATAAAATGATTAAGAGAAAAGTAAGATTGTACCTTTACAGTCTAAATAATAGTTTTTTACAGACGAGAAAGTTCGGGTTTTCCACTATAGTAATAAATAATAAAGAGTCCTATACAGTCTAACAAATTGGAGGAATAATGACAGACAGCTTTCATTAATCAGTTAAAATTGTAGGATAGTCGGGCTCTCAATCATTCTTCTTTCCACTACCAAATGACATAAAGTAAAAGTAGTTCATCCTTCCTCCTTTCCTTTTAAACATTTTTTTTCATTTTATTTTTTCTTCTGAAGTGAAAAAAAAAAAAAAAAAAAAAAATTGTTACTGCATAAACTTCTTTTGAAATTAATAATCTGATTGATAAATGTAAATGGAGTGTTACTGATCAACTCGAAAAAATCACTGTGCTAATCATGTGAAAAGAAAGCCACCAATAAATATATTTTTGTGAAGTTTACGTGATGGCACATTATTTAATTGGTTTAAATTTTCGCACCATTAAGACAAGTTGTCTAACGGCATCTTTTTTTTATATAAAAAAAAATATATTATTAATTAATGTGAAAGATGGAGTCTTTTTAACCCTAGTTATTTGGCATAAAAAATAATAATTAATAAGTCACAAAGTTGTATCTTACTTGAGTTTTGAAAAGGGGGTGTTATCTTCTTGGTAAAGAAGGAAAAGGTGATGACATACAAAGAAAAGAGTTGTCAATTAGCCTTTGCTCTTCTTCACAACACATGATGGAATGTGATCTCTGATACAGCTCGAGTCGACTCGGACAACTCAACCGAGTTCTGTTCCACTTGTTAATACCCTCAGAATTAAACACACTGAAAAAAGAGGCAACACCTCCACACTTCTCTCCATCTTCCAAGACACCAAGACAAACAGAGCACTCTGTTTCTTGCCAAACAGTCTTTCACTATTCACCCATATAAAGGAAAATCGCCGATTCATTGATGGTATTGGTGGGCCAAGGCGAGCCCAGGCGAACACTAAGTCCGAGCTGGTGGTGTCGTAGGGTCCATGTAATAGGTTCTGGGCTTTCTAGCATTGCCTCAACCAGGGGATAGGCCCACTTTGTTAGCTTAGTAGTCCGTTTGGCCTCTTGGCCTGTACATTCCTTGTATCCTTCAATACAGTTTTTCTAAAACTTCAAAAAAAGAATAACTAACTAAAAGTAACTTGTGTTTGTCAATGTAACCAAGGGTGAACTACATTAAACCCTATTTTTTCTATCTGTGTTTTTTATTAAAGTCTCTTTTTTTATTCAAGGGGGGTGATTTAACTAATGGAAGTTAGTTAAAAGAGAACTGAAATATAAATTGACTTAAATACCCATTAAAGCCGGCCTATTTGAAAATCTACTTTGCTTCTTATTTTTTTATTTATAAAATAACCTAAACGACATCATTCACACAAATTAACACTTTTATTGTTTTTTTTTGTTTTAACATTTTACTAGACTGACAAGTTCACATTAGTCACATGGAAGGAATTTTTTATTTTTTTATAGAAAAAAAAATGATATTGAAATATAAATAAAATAAAAAAACATGTAGGCATAAATATTAATATAAAAAAGGAAAAAAAAATAGGAATTATTTCTCGTAGTGTCCCTTTAATAAATCTATATAAAATGAAAATCAATAAAAACCAAATAAATGAATGCACAATATAATTCTCAAATATATATATATATATATAGCAGAAAAATTTCAAGAAAAAAACCTAGATTTATATTGGTCTGAAGGCTGGATGGAAATGAAAATATAGTATAAATAATATTTAATGATACATATTATATATACCATTATCTTATGAAACAAATTATATATAATATTATAATGATAGAAGAGTACGTGTTGTTGCAATAGTGGAAGATATGCGGCTAAGAGTGATAATGAAATAGATATATATGTGAAGGTATATTAAAATAGATAAAAGGACATTTTTGTCTAAAAAATATATGAAAAACTAAATATCCAAAGATTCTCCCTTTCAGTTAACTTCCGTTAGTTAAATCACCCTCCTCGAATAGTTGAGGGGGGTTTATTGACAAATAAAAAATAAAAAATGGGGGTTTAGTGAAAAACACAGATAAAAAATGGGGGTTTAATGTAGTTCACCCTATAACTAAAGGGTAAAATGCAAAAAAAAAACCTTTGAACTATGGGAAAACCTGTAACCAACCCTAGAACTATTAAAAATATAAGAAATTCCCTAAACTATATAAATTTGTTGCAGATCATCCCATTTGGGCAAGGTTCGGTGAGAGTTTATCATTAAAAATAGTTGAATCATTTTAGGGTTAATTTCACTGATACCCCTTCAGATTTAACTAAATATCACCTTCAAACATCTTTCGAAATTAATTATCACTCAGACCCCAATTTACTTTTCCGTTACTTTTTCATTAAAAAGGTCCAAATGAAAATTTTATCCCTATTTTTTTAATCTATTTTAATTTAAAATATCAAAAGTCTGAAATAACCAAATTGCCCTTTTTTATTACACTGTCATCCCCAAAACTCTTCATCTCACTCTTTTCTCTATAAATATAAATAATAATAATATATATATATATATATATATAAAGAATAATTTTAAATTTATATAATGAAGGTCAAAGGGTATTTAAGTTATTTCGATCCTTTGTAAGTCAACAGATAGTTAAAAGGGTAATAATTTCATTTTAAATGCAAAAGTACCTGATATACTTGAAAAGTAACTTTTGATGTGTAAGTGAAAAACGGACCAAACATTTGTAATACAACTATGCAAGTGATAGTTATTTTCGAAACATGATTCATTGTGATGTTTGGCCCGACCTGAGAGGAGTGTCAGTGAAATTAATACATCATTTTAAAGGACCATACTACTCTCATAATCATGAAAGGACAAGAATGCCTTTGATTCTATGGAGCCTCATTGTCGCCCAGTTGCATCATAAAATCCGCAAAGGAAGCAGCCACCAACTGCCAACAAATCTCCATTGCCATTCTGACAACTCCAGCGAGGTAGAATATAGCCCTAAGCCAACCACCAGTGGACATAACCAAGACCCACCAAAGGTGGTCATGCCAATGTCAATCCTTGGTTTCTCAAACTATATTGCCTTAATTTTGTGTTACAGATGAAAAACATGGCATTACAAGAATCAAAAGCTAATTGGAACTGCAATCTGTGTGGCCCTATTGACGCAACATCGACACAACAACTATGTCGAGTCCGAATCGACATGAAACTACCTTGCTTTTAGTTATTTTTGATATATTAGTACTCCATTTATTCCAAAAAGAGTGTCTCTTTTTGAAAACTGTGACTCACAAATTATGCGTCACAATTTCCCAAAACAGACACACTATTTTGGACGGAGAGTATATAAATTGAACTGACTCGAATTGACTTTTGCATGAAATAGATATTGAGGACTTGGTTTGGGATGGGACTGTAATTAAGAAATTCGGCTGGATAAATTAATGTTATTTATAATGTTTTTGTTCTTATACTTTATGTTTTTTATATACCCTGAATTTAATTCAATTGTTTAAAATGAAAAAAAAAAATTAGGTAAAATCCATGGGGTTGCTTGAGAATTTCTAGTTTGAAAAACCTGAAGGGAAAGAGTATGGGAGAAAATCATATGTTATAGGCATGCTAAAATGAAAAATGTTGTAAGTAGCACAAAATATAAGAGGAAAATAATATAGACAAACAAAAAACTTCCTCATTCTCACTAAAGGACTTAAATAATTGATCATCGTGAAGGGAAAGGTGAGAGAAGAATAAGAGTAATAATAATAGTTGGTGGGTACGTATAGACCAAAGTAATACAATCATGCTAGCACTTGAAATAATTATAGAATAACACATTTCTCTCACATAAGCATACTTTGAACACATAAGTGAATAAGTCTTCTCTAGAGCAATATCATACATGTCATTAACATTAAAAGGAATACAAATACACATCATTTTCTATCATGCCTTCTTCACACTAATACATAGTCATTTTAATTCACAATTTCACATTTATAGAGAATTTCAAGGAAATAAAGAATAGATACTCAATGAAAGACAAAGTTTTGAAGCATTAGGAAAACCCTACCTCAAGTATGCTAGCCAAACATGCCTTTAGCCAAGCCCTAATTTTGAATTCTCCCAAACCCTAACAATAACGGTGTCAAATTGTAGCCCTTGCCAAGCTCATCAATTTCTCCTTCTTGCTCTCTGTGATGTTTCCGATTTTCAGTATTTTTCATTTTTCTGGAATTTCGTTGATGCAAGGGTATTTATGTCTTTTCACGTTTTGCGTACGGAATTATAGTTGAGTCCACTTACATTTCATATATTTTATTTTATGAGATTTATGTGGCATCTAATTGGTGGTGTATTTCATGTGTGTGTAGTATGGAAATTAAAGCAAAAAGAAAAAGAGAAAAGAAAAGGATGGTTGTAACGACCCACTCCACCACATGGTATGATATTGTCCGCTTTGGGCTTGAGCCCGCACGGTTTTGCTCTTGAGCTTCACCCCAAAAGGCCTCATACCAATTGGAGGTGACACACTTACATATAAGTACTTCACCTTTCCTCTACCCAGGCGATGTGGGACTGTGCACCCGTAGCTCGCCAGTGTGGTAGCCTGACAGTGTCTCTCGCACCCGCCCACGGCACACCCGCCCACAGGGTCATCACAATCCACCCCCCTTGGAGGCCCGACGTCACCGTCGGCACACTTCCGGCTGGGTCAGGCTCTGATACCATTTGTAACAACCCACTCCACCACATGGTATGATATTGTCCGCTTTGGGCCTGAGCCCGCACGGTTTTGTTCTTGGGCTTCACCCCAAAAGGCCTCATACCAATTGGAGATGATGCACTTACATATAAGCACTTCACCTTTCCTCTACCCAGGCGATGTGGGACTTGTGCACCCGTAACTCGCCAGTGTGGTAGCCTGACAGTGTCTCTCGCACCCGCCCACGGCACACCCGCCCACAGGGTCATCACAATCCACCCCCCTTGGAGGCCCGACGTCCCCGTCGGCACACTTCCGGCTGGGTCAGGCTCTGATACCATTTGTAACAACCCACTCCACCACATGGTATGATATTGTCCGCTTTGGGCCTGAGCCCGCACGGTTTTGTTCTTGGGCTTCACCCCAAAAGGCCTCATACCAATTGGAGATGATGCACTTACATATAAGCACTTCACCTTTCCTCTACCCAGGCAATGTGGGACTTGTGCACCCGTAGCTCGCCAGTGTGGTAGCCTGACAGTGTCTCTTGCACCCGCCCACGACACACCCGTCCACAAGGTCATCACAATCCACCCCCCTTGGAGGCCCGACGTCCTCGTCGGCACACTTCCGGCTGGGTCAGGCTCTGATACCATTTGTAACGACCCACTCCACCACATGGTATGATATTGTCCGCTTTGGGCCTGTAAGTGTGTCACTTCCAATTGGTATGAGGCCCAAAGCGGACAATATCATACCATGTGGTGGAGTGGGTTGTTACAAATGGTATCAGAGCCTGACCCAGCCGGAAGTGTGCCGACGGGGACGTCGGGCCTCCAAGGGGGGTGGATTGTGATGACCCTGTGGGCGGGTGTGCCGTGGGCGGGTGCGAGAGACACTGTCAGGCTACCACACTGGCGAGCTACGGGTGCACAGTCCCACATCGCCTGGGTAGAGGAAAGGTGAAGTACTTATATGTAAGTGTGTCACCTCCAATTGGTATGAGGCCTTTTGGGGTGAAGCTCAAGAGCAAAACCGTGCGGGCTCAGGCCCAAAGCGGACAATATCATACCATGTGGTGGAGTGGGTCGTTACAATGGTGGTGGGACCCACCACCCACTCATTTTGTGACTTAACGACCACAAATTGGGTCTCAAATCTCACATCTCCCGTAAGTCTCTCTCTCCCCTCTTTTCTTTGTAATTTTTCTTCTATTTTCATAATCAAACTTCAAGCTTTGATTCCATCTTAAATACTTGGAATTTTTTAGTGTCTTTTGAGGCAAAACGGAGAGCACGACGAGTTCTATGCGTGAGTACCATCAATTTCAACTTTGAGCCTCCTTAAAGACTTCGAATTTGGAGACCCATTTTAAGGGTTTTGCATCAATTTGAGGTAGGGGCTCTTAATCCATGAGATCTTGTACCTTAGTGAGTTAATTCTCTTTAGTTGTTGCTTAACTTGAGTAATTTGTTTTAAAATTTATTAAGGTGTTGATTCTTATGCATATATATTGATTGTGTAACTATGTGTGTTAAATGTTCTAGGCGAAGAGCATGCTTAAGAATTGATTATATATGATCATCATGCTAGATTCTTATTGTATAAAAAGCATGTTGTGATTTCCTTGATATTCTTGTGAACTATGCTTTGTTAGTTAAATTGTATTAGATGTGGGATGATGAACATGTGTATGTCATTGAGGCATCTATGCATTGGCATTGGGCATGAAAATGGGGAGAATTGTTTTGAAATGAAAATGGGGAATTTCAGGAAAGTGTTTTGATGAAATAGTTTTATGAAAACCCGGTCGCCGCGAGAGTACCAAAGGGCCGGAAGGTTAATATAGCTTAGAGGGAACTAGGGAGATTGTCCTAGCGTGGTTGAGCTAGCTGGGCCCAAAATGACGCCGCGGGGGTACCAAGGGTCAGGGACACTAGCCAATCCTTCTCTCGTGTCACTACGGGGTCACCAAAGGGCGGGTTATATTAACCGTGTGAAAGTAATGGTTTTGAATGTGAAAAAAAATGGGGAGCGACATCGACATGCATTGCACTCCCATTGCATCACATTGTTTATACTTGAGATTGATTGTTATGTGATATTATCCCGACATTGTATGATCCCCATTTCCTATTGCTCTATTCTTGTATGGATTCACGTGGACACAAGAGGCGTGCCTTAAATGCCACATACTGAGCGACTCGCTCATCCCAATATATTTTACATTTTTTTCAGGACATGGCAAGGAATTGGCGGATAATAATCCACCACAGAACTAAGGGAACTTAAAGAGCATTTTGAATATATTTTGTTGAATTTGAACTTATTTTGTAAAGCACATGATGTAAAATGTATTAAGTTCATTTGGTATGTAAAAGATAATGTAATTAGAAACTTGAAATCCATTTTGATGTAAATGGAACTAATGTAAGCACTATGTTTAACCTCATGTAATTGTAATAAATGATCTTGTAAGATGACTGTGTGGTAGTACTCATGTTCCTGATCGTAGAATATTGTATTTTGATGGTTTAATTCAAGTATGAATCATTTTAAAGTCCCCATTTCAGTTTTTCTTCAGTCCATTAAGTGCAACTTCTCAGTAGCAGGTTCCAGGCCCGGCAGAGCCATTTCAGTTAACCGATATAGTGCATCAGTCGACCGATTCTCTTGTAACTCTCGGGATCTCCTGTTTCGGTCGACCGAAATAGGGTTCGGTCGACCGAACCATCCTCTTGCTCTCAGTATCTGAGTTTCGGTTGACTGAAGCAGAGTATCGGTCGACCGGTTCTTAGAGGTCTACTTCAGCAGACCGAAACTCCACTTCGGTCTACCAAAGTGTACCTGTTTTGCCTTCTTTGTTCCTTCTCCCTTTGTTATCCAATCTTGACCCTTGGAATCCGTTTAGAGACTTTGTAAAAGCCTTGTGTTGACCCTCAGGACCATGTTTTGACACTTGAAATGTTAGGTTTAACGTAGATGACCTCGGGTTCGAGTAAGGACCCGTCTAACGGTTCGGACCCCCGGGTTCGGGGCGTTACAGGAATGGTATCAGAGCCGATGGTTCGAAAACCTTTAGGATGACGGGTAAAGGCCTACATGGGATTGCATAAGATGTTATCTGTATTGTTTATTTGACTACTTATTACGTGTTGTATTACTTGAACAAGCATACTTAACTACTTATGTGCTTACGTGCTTAAATGTTTATGTTAAAATGTTTTTTGTATAGTCGTGCATACTAAATGTCATTACAGTATCATTTCATGTTGAGTCATCCAAGGTAAACCTTAGTGTTTTGTCATTGAACCGTTTTCTCGTTTTATAGCGCGATGGCACTACGTGAGGAACCTAGGGAACTTGGCCCTAGGCCGACTAGGGGTGATGTTAGCGAGAGCTCCAGTTCCAATCCAGATGAGCTAAATGATAAGGACACACTTCTCAGAGATTTCATTCCCCTAAGAGTTGTCCCCATGAGGAGGGATAATGTTGAAACACCCGTAGAAGTGGGTGAAGGTTCTGCGGCGCTGGAGTTGAATCGTTTGTTACAAAGTGCCTTGAGAGCAACCATTGCTGCTCAGTCGCAATCGGCACCACAACCTACAGTTCAAGTTAAGGAAATGCCAGCTCAGAAGCGTCTCAAGATCATTAAAGGGTTTTCTCAGCTGATACCGGTTATGTTTGAGGGCGGTGCAGATCCAATGGTAGCAGACGACTACATGGATCAAGTTGAGACTCAGTTGATCTCAATAAATGTGACTGAGGATCATTTGAAGATCATCATAGCAACTTACAAGTTTGCTAAGGATGCCAAACTCTGGTGGAAGACGGTTACGAATCGTAATAAGGTGGAAGAAATGAGTTGGGACAAGTTCAAAGAGCTATTTTACGAAAAGTATTTTCTGATTTCTAAAAGATGGGAGCTAAAAGACCAGTTTCTTGGCCTTATCCAAGGCAATATGTCAGTGGCGGAGTATGAGAACAAGTTCACTTCACTTTCTCGCTTTGCTCCGGAAATGGTGAGAGATAAAGTTAACAAGACTCGAAAGTTTGTTTCTGATCTTCATGATAGAATGAGGCCGTTGATAACGGCACAGTTCATCAAGGTTTATTCTGAAGCAATATAGAGGGCTTTGATGCTTGAGGCTGATATCAAATATAAGGATGCAAGGAGGGAACAGTGGAAGCAAAAGAGAGGTGCAGGGCCGTCTTCAGAAGGATCTTCTTAGAAGAAGAACAAGGGTAGTTCTTTTCAGTTTCAGGGGCAACAGTCTGCACGATCTACCCTTACCACTCCTATGCCAGCTAGATCTGACAAGAGTGGAGTCGTATGTTTTTAGTTTCAGCAGCATGGGCATTACAAGTTCAATTGTCCCATGAGATCGTCTTTAGTTTCTTCAGCTCCAAGGACTTGCTATGGGTGTGGCCAGCAGGGTCACTTGATTCGAGACTGTCTTAGTCAGGAAGCAGGCACTGGTAATGGCAGAGGGTCACGACACAGGCCGTCACAGTCGGCTACAGTTCAGTCAAGGTTCAGACCGTCGCCGCTACTACAGCCTACTATGTCTTCTCAGGGTTCACGGTCTGTTAGGAGGGATGCTCCTACTGTGCCAATGCAGCAATCCGGTATTCAGGGTGGTGGTTCTCAGGCATAGGCATCGCAGGGACGTATCTTTGCACTCGCACCGGCTGATGCATCTTCTAGACCATCAGTTCTTCGAGGTATCTTTCCAGTGTTTGGTTCTTGGGCTCGTATTCTTTTTTACTCTAGTGCATCTCATTCCTTCATTTCATCATCATTTGCACTTGCATCAGGGTTAGAGGTTAGTTTCATGGATCAGGCGTTATGTGTTAATACGCTAGTTGGGGTTTCAGTGTCTTTGAGTCAAATTGTTCGGGATTGTTCCATTGTGATAGTCGGACGGACCTTTGTGTTTAACCTTATCCTCCTGGAGATGACTAATTTTGATGTCATTCTTGGGATGGATTGGTTAGTTTTCTTTTATGCCATAATTGATTGTTTTAGAGGTAGAGTTATAGTTCGCACTCCGGAAGAAGATTGTTTCTTTTTTATAGGAGATCGGAGTGATTCCCAGCCTTCATCATTGTATGGAATTCGTGAATGAAGTCGTGAAGATTATTTCTTGGCTAGTCTTCTAGCCGAAGAAGATGATGTTGTGGGAGAAGACTATCCAGAGGTAGTTCGTGATTTTCTCGATGTGTTTCTAAAGGATTTGACAGAGTTGCCTCCACACCGAGAAGTGGAGTTTACTATTGACTTGATGTCCGGTACCGCGCCGATTTCTATGGCAACGTATCATATGGCACCAGTTGAGTTTGAAGAATTGAAGAGGCAGCTTGATGATTTGAGGATGAAAGGTTTCATCCGACCGAGTGTGTCGCTGTGGGGCGCACCGGTCTTATTCGTTAAGAAGAAAGATGGTTCTTTGAGGTTGTGCATTGATTACCGGAAGTTAAATCATGCCACCATCAAAAATAAGTATCATTTGCCAATGATAGATGATTTATTTGACCAGTTGAGGGGAGCCAATTATTTCTCGAAGATTGACTTGAGGTCTGGCTATTACCAGTTGCAGGTTAGGGATGAGGATATTTCAAAGACAGCGTTTCGTACACGGTATGGACACTATGAGTTCCTTGTTATGCCTTTTGGCTTGACTAATGCGCCAGCAGCATTCATGGACTTGATGAACCGCGTCTTTCACGATTACTTGGACCAGTTTGTGGTAGTTTTCTTAGACGACATTCTTGTGTACTCACGGACTCGGGAGAAGCGCGAGGTCCATTTGAGTACTGTTCTACAGATTTTACGGGAACACCGATTGTATACCAAATATTAGAAGTGTGAGTTTTGGCTACAAGAGGTGAAGTTTTTGGGACATGTTGTTTCAGAAGGTGGAGTGTCAGTTAATCCATCAAAGATAGAATCTGTTTTGAATTGGGAGCAACCCAAGAATGTTTTTTGAAACCCGGAGTTTCCTTGGTTTAGCAGGTTACTATCGGAGATTTGTGAAAGATTTCTCCCGTTTAGTAGTTTCTATGACCCGATTGACCCGAAAAGGAATCAAGTTTGTGTGGAATGAAGCATGTGAGTCATCTTTTCAAGAGCTGAAGACAAGATTGACTATAGCTCCAGCGTTGGTGATACCTAAGCGTGGCTTAGGTTATGTGACCTATTGTGATGCTTCACGTGATGGGTTGGGATGTGTGTTGCTGCAGGATGGTAGAATAGTGGCTTATGGGTCTCGATAGTTAAAGACTCATGAGTACAACTACCCTACTCATGATCTGGAGTTGGCGGCAGTCGTGTTTGCACTGAAGTGTTGGAGACACTATTTGTATGGTGAGAGATTCGAGGTATTCTCGGATTACAAGAGTCTCAAGTACCTTTTCTCTCAAAAGGACTTGAATAACAGACACAGACGATGGGTTGAGTTCTTGGAAGACTAAAATTTCGATTTGCAATATCATCCGGGCAAGACAAATGTGGTAGCAGATGCCTTAAGCCGGAAATCTCGTGGAACCTTAACCGGATTAGCTATTCGGAAATGGAAGATGCTTAATGATTTGGCGGAAATGGGATTGTATTGTGTTGATGATAATGGTTGCAGTGAATCGGCATTCTTGTTTAGTCTTGTGGGTCAGCCGACTCTTGTTGTAAGAGTGATTGAGTCACAGAGACGGAACTTAGATTTAAATGTCATCCACACTTTAATCTCTAGTGGTGAGATAGTGAAAGATTGGACCTTGCATGCAGATGGGGGTTTATGATTCAGGGGTTTGTTAGTGGTTCCCACAGTCTGTCGGGAAGACATCTTACGGGAGTTTCACACTTCCCGCTTTGCAGTTCATCCAGGTGGTACTAAGATGTATCACAATTTGAGGCGTCAGTATTGGTGGAACAGGATGAAGAAAGATGTTGCACAGTTTGTGGGTAGATGCCTTACCTGTCAACAGGTGAAGGCCGAGCATCAGAAACTGGTTGGGTTGTTGTAACCATTGCCTGTAGCGCAATGGAAATGGGAACATATTGTTATGGATTTTGTGACAGGTCTTCTAAGGTCACGGAGAGGCAACGAGGCTGTATAGGTCATCATTAACAGATTGACCAAGACGGCTCACTTTTTGCCTATTAAGGCAACAGATGATGCAGAGGCACTTGGTAATCTTTACGTGAAGGAGATTATGAGGTTACATGGAGTCCCAGTAACCATTGTCTCAGATTAGGATGCCAAGTTCACTTCGAAGTTCTGGGAAGGACTTCAAGCAGCGTTCAGTTCAGCGTTGCATCTTAGTACGGCATTCCATCCACAGATAGACGGCCAGTCGGAGCATACTATCCAGATCTTAGAAGATATGTTTCAGGTATGTGTGCTTGACTTGGGTGGTAGTTAGGAAGATCATCTACCGTTTATTGAGTTTACCTACAACAACAGCTATC